TTACCCAAAATCAATACGTCAGACATTGACTTCTTATATTTTTTATTGAATTAAAAATTATATCACAATCCTATAAAAATAGCTTAAAATAAACAAATACTCAAATCAATATACTTGTTTCTTAAAATAAAGATCTTCATTATTATGTATGAAAGGCTAGAGACATAAAATTTCATTGTCGTCGTCGATTAAATCTCGTTAAGGCCACATCTGTATTACTCTTATGAACATTACCTGCTTTTGACATCAAGTTGACATTGCATTTTCAGTGACCATGTGCTATATTTTTCTTTTGGTAGAATAAGAGTAAAACGCAGCAATTCTTTCGTAAAAAATAATGTAGTACAAAGTTGCAATTGCTTGTTTAAATTATTTATTGTTTAAAAACATTTATGTCAACGTTATTTCCAACGATTTCATTTATAATAGAAATAATGCAATTCTAAGTACTTATTTCATTATAGATTATAAAGTTTACATAAATTAATTACTAATTTAAAGTAAATTGTATTTGGATAATATATTTATATATTTTGAATATAATTTTAATGTTTGTTTAAAATGTATACGTTGAATTATAATTTGCATAATTTAGTTCTCTTTATGCATACATACCGTATTAATTGATCTCATGTTTTTTTATTTGATCTAATCAACATAGATTATTGAACCAGTTCCAAAAGTTGTATCGGAAAAAAAATATTTTAGTTTATTTTTAATAATTTTGAATAGAATGAGTTCCACGAATTTACTTCATTAAGCGTGTTAAAAATACTATTAACAGATTGGGGATAAGATCCTTCTTTACGAACTTACAATCAATCAACAATCAACTTACATGCAACATTTTCAAAGTTGAGTCTAAATTTGATTAATTGTGCTGTTTTTTTCTTTCATTTAACAATTGCGTATACGAAGTTATTGGATTTAATAACGATTGCTCAATAAAGATTATTGCTGAATCAGAATAATTTGTACCTTTTTAAATCATTAGTTGTTTAACTTCTTTAATTTTGTCTTCGTTGCTAAGAAGGTTTTCGGATTATTCGAAGTCATAACTTTATAATTTCTTGAATGTTATTTTCTTTTTCTTCATTTACAATTGTGCAAACGCCGTTGGAATTGGTCATATTTCATATACCGCATAAAAAATCGCACGAAAATAAAATCGCATAAAAATGACCACACAAAAACAGGTTCTACTGTATATATAGGTTTTGAATGAAAAAATAAAATACAATTATTTTAAGTATAGTACAGATAATTTTATTGATTACATCAATATTTTATTTTGTAAATGAAACGAAAATTAAACATTGTTAACTATTTATAACTTTTTTTTTTCTTAAAACCAAACATTTTTAGTTCAATGCAAGATTTTAATTACAAAATAATACAGTTATACCTCGCATAGCGCTGCTTCAATCAGTCCGGATTCACTACAGCCCGTTTTGGAAATTTCGAAACAAACTAAATTTTTAATTGAGTATAATAAAAGTATATTCAACAGAATTAGTACACAATTTTGTTTATACATAAATAATAGTTTTTTCTCTCTATATACAATCAATTTTTATATTTATTTAGTACCCCGATTTGTCCGGATTCAAACAGTCCGGGTGAAACGATCTATCCATATTACGAGAAGAAATTTTGTATTTCTAATGTAGAGATACAATGATCATATAAAAAAATAATTAAGTTACATAACGAATTAATATTTCATATTTATTCTAATTAGATTTCTTTTATAAATTAAAAACATTTGTTTACATGAAAATATATTTTTATCTGAACTTAATATGTTCAAGAATATAAAAGTAATGTATATACAAAAAATATAACCTAAGACCATAACCATGATGAAAACCTATGATTTTGTTTGTTTGAACGATTATCTAATAATAATACAAAAAAAAATAACTTGTTATAATATAATTATAATATTTGTTAAGTATGACTGACGTAAAGTATATAAAACTCGTCGCAAATGCAGATTTCGTGCAAATTAAAATGTTTGCAAGCAATTCATAATATAATGAAGTGACTAAGGAAAACCGAATCAATTAATTTCTTTGTTTCCTCTCTTCCAGTTTTGTTCACAGACAGACGAAGGTCGCTATTCTAATTAATCGACTTAAAGACGTGATCATTATTTGAGCTTCACTTCATTTATACTGACTGTTCTTTTCTATACCTTAATCATCGCGTGTAACATGCAAATAAACAAAAAAAGTATATACAATAAAATAAGAGTTTGATTAATTCATAACTTATTCAATTATATAAATATAGCAATATTCAAGTTGAAAATAAACTTTTTTCTTTATACAGTCAAGTCTGTTTTAATAAGTTTATGTATATCAGTTTTAAACTAACTAATTAGTCCAGTTTCAAATAGTCACGGATATTGGGGAAATATTTGATAAATAAAATAATATATAAATTAGTAACAATTTTCAATATTTTATTTCAAGAAGTTTTTAAAGTAATAGTTTTTATTAATTTATATAAAGGTTTATAATATTATATTGTGATTTAAAGTATCTATTTTTAAAACAGAAGCATTTTACAATTAGTTACAAAAAGGTGAAAAAGAAAAAATAATGATGACGGTCATTTAATTGCAAGGTTAATCGTTGTGAAAACACTTGATATAATTATGGACGTGTCTATTATTTTTATACTGATGTCATGTTCATTTTTATTGAATTATATATGATTCATATCAATTTGTTTATTGATAAATTACAATTTTTAATTAAGGAAAAATTTTCATCACATTTTTTTCATGTTATTTTAGACAAAATTTATTAATTTATTGGTTCTAATTTTCCTTTGCACTCTCTAGATTGAAAAGTAAATAATGTAATAAATCGATTTAATGTAACTAAAATTATAAATAAATTTTTATACAAAAATGTAATAAAATATTGAAATTCATATGTATTATTGAAATATGTATGAGGTTTGCCACAAATGAGTTTGGTATCAGTCCGATCTAATTACTTATAATATTAGTGGATGGAAATCTAGTGCGGAAATGATACAGAAAAATGTACGGTATTTGATGACTACTCTCCATACATCACCCATTATTATAATTATTATACGCCATGTAATTTCATAATTAAATATAAATTACAATAATAATTTAGAGAGTCTCCACGCCGCTGCTGAGATAATTACTGTACATTTCCTAGTCAATGTGAATTTCTGTTTATATCCAGACGTTACATATATTTTTAAGAAAAAAAAGATGTTAATAGAAAGTGGTTGGATTTTTCCTTGTTTATTAATAATTTGAAAGTGAAATTAATATTATTAATTAATAATAACAATAGGTGTTGGAGAAAACAATACTGTTTGAAGATATTTAGTCAATTATATAATATCTAGAAAGAAAAACAATAGATGGCGTCGTAATCATGTACCGCGCTCTTCCTATGTTCTTTCGGTAAATTGTTTGGAAACTTTTGTTGAGTATCGAACAAATATAAAGAACAATGTACAATCATACCTTAATTAACGTTACTTCTTATATCGATATAACGATTTCCGCAATTTTTAGCCTCATTTAACAAAAAAAAATATTAAAAGTTAAGGTAAACTGACAATCATCCGATAAAATATAGCCATAAGTTGTACTAGAAGAATAAAATTAATAGCTTTTGAAAATGTTGATGTTAGAAATTTATTGTATGCAAAAGATCTTAGTTTTTCTCGATAATTTAGAAAACATTCTTCTTGTTGTGTTCAATCATTAAGGGTGCATTCTAGAGCAATCACAGATAAGAACATAAGATCCAGAATAGGCAGTACTATCAAGGGCAGTCTCCGATTGAAATGTTCCTTCATATTTTCCGCAAAATAGCAGTGACCTGAAGCGGAGTTTCTTATCAAAACCGTGCCTCACTCCATAAACTCCCACACCCCTTTTATTGCTGAGTTAATGTAAACATTCTTAGTTATAAAATTAAGGGAATAACAACTAAATACTCCATAATTTTCCATAACATGATTTGCTAATTCTGTTCATTTTTCTTTATTTGTTTGCTCCAGTTTCATTACTTGTTAACAGTAAACATCAAAATTGATCGGTTCCTTGAATGCAGTACTTAGACACAATACCTTTTTAACCCCACCAAATTGATAGCATGATCTTTTATGATGCAAATCAGCTTTCGATCAGTATTCGTCAAGCTTGGATCATTATCGTTTTGGATTTATATTATTGAAAAAAAATGACGATTTCATTGCTTTTGAGATGAATATTGCAAACATTGATTCGTTGTATTAAGTGAATCTGAGGATTGAAAAAGACCTCTTTATGGTTCTCAGCAGCTTTTACGCAATTGGCTTCTAAATGAAGTATTGATATGTATAAAGTATGAAGAGGAAGAGGAAGACGATCTAAATATTATCAAGACACGTTGGATCTCAAATGCAAATATTGACTAAATGACATTTTACCAGTAGATAAAACTAAGAAAGTCGTTCGTCGCTTTAGGCTATAAAAAAAAGTTGTATTATTAAATTTATGGTTAATGTATTATTATAATTTCGAACTATTAGGTATTTACATCTATTTTATTATATTTATTCTAATATTCTCACTATAGAATCGAATTAAAGTGTTATTAAATGACAATTATGTTATACATTTTTTTAATAACAATATTTTTCTATTTATATGCTTATTACACTTCGTGCAGCTTTTTTCTTTAATTTTCCTCACGATTTATTTTTTGTAACATCAAAATAAAGGTAATTAAATTGCATCTTTTCGAATTTTGCATCTTGTTTTGACATACAGAAAAATAATTATTCGATTGAGATTTGAAGGAACCTAAAAACTTGTAATTTGTTTTTGTTGTTGTTTTGGGTCCCCTACTCTTTGACCATGCAGTCGGTATAAATAATAGACGCCGAAAATATAATTGCATAAGAAGTGCATAGCTCAGCAGCACCATTACAATAATCCAAAATGTTTAAAACAGCTTTAGTATTTGCCGCGTTCTGCGCCCTGGTCATCGCCGATGATCATTACACCACCAAACACGACAACATTGACGTCAATGAGTTTCTCTCCAACAAAAGGTTGGTGAAGAATGCCATCAACTGCTTGTTGGATCGTGGAAACTGCACACCAGAAATTACCGAATTGAAGAGTAAGTAGACTTAAATATACTAAATTATACTATTTCCTAATGAAATGCAGTGAGTTGTTATTTGGGAAGATTGCGGGTGTGTTTCACAATAGGCCTATTACATACACAACACACGTTATATTTCAATTATCGACACTTGATAACTTATCAATTTTGTTGTGGATCTCAATTTAAAATTTTTCTTTTGTGGAGCCCACAAATTCATTAATTTTGTAATTCTAAATCTAAATACTATGTTTTCTTCAATTTTCAGAGGTTATTGATGATGCTTTGAAGACCGATTGCAGCAAGTGCAGCGAAAAGCAAAAGGCTAACACCAAGATTGTGCTCCGTCACATGTACGAAAATGAACAAGAAGCTTTCAAAGAACTTGAAGCCAAATACGACAAGGATGGAGTCTACAGGAACAAATACCGTGAAGAAGCCAAGAAGGAAGGAGTCAACATTTAAATAACTCGTTCACTTCCTAAATTGATATATTTCTATATTGTTATTATTAATGTTTTTATATCTTTTCCTTACTCTTTCTTTTCTAGTTTCATTAAAACGTAAAAAAAAACTTTATATAATAAAAGTCTCTTTTTTGAATATCTTTTGACTTACATTAATTTTATTTGTTCCTGCTATATTAGTTTTCAACTAAATACATACTTTCAAAATAGATCAAATTATTGAATTATTGGACAAAGGAATCATCCTATTCGATGTAGGAATCCGTTCATTAGGTTGTGTTTCAACAAGCATTTTAACATGCATGGTATTTGCAATCAGAATTCTAAGATTTCGGTGAATCTTTTGGTTTCATATTCGTACACATATGATGTACACTACGCACGCCTTACTTGTTAAAATCTAACGATATTTCATGTCAAATTTCAAGAAGGTCGGTATGATTGGATAGGAGAAAATGCAAGTTTAGTGATGTAAGGTCGGTAGAAATTCCACCACCAATACAGCAATAAATTTGTTTTGCCATTCTCTCGAGTTTCGACGTCTACTCAAGCCTATGCAATTTTTTTCAGCAATTCTAAATTGCATATGAAATGAATGCAATATCTCTTGTGACTATTTCCAAGTGGTTTCAAAGATTTCAGACCGGACATTTTTCTGTGGAGAACGAACCTCGTGAAGGTCACCCAAAATCTTCGACCGATGATACAAATGTAGCCCTGGTGGAGGAAAAAATTCTTTAGATAAATCGTAACAGGTGATGAATCTTGATTCTATAAGTATGACCCGGAAACCAAGCAGTAGTCCATGGTATGGAGCGCAGAAGATGCAAATCACTCCAGCAAAAGGAAGACAAGAAAAATCAGCAACAAAATTACTTTTAATTTTTCAGAACAAAAGTGGTAGCTGCTATCTCACTGGAAACTGGTCAGACGGTAACTGCTAAGTAGTATACAGAATCTTATTTACCATAAGTATTCAAAGATTAGTTTTGAAACCAGAAAAAAGTGGTGCTTCGTCGCTACTTTTTACATCACGATCATCAATCATTATTAATGAAATTCACACAATACCTTATTTAACCGACGTAGCGTCTTGTGATTTCTTGGTGTTTCCGAAAATTAAAAAAAAATAAAGGAGAGACTCTTCAGTTCCAATGAATGCATTTAATGTAATACTTGAAAATCTCCAAAAAGCCGATTTTGAGGAATTTTTTTGAAATGTGGCTCTACTGACTTAAGAAATATATTGAAATAAATGGAAATTATGTAGACAAATTACAAAAGGATGAAAATTAAAAGTATTAAAATAAAATTGTTTTTATTTTGCTTTTCCCATCCAATTTAGCGAACTTTTGTTAGATCCCTTGTATATAACTCTATTGACAGTAACGATATTTAATATAGAATGAAAAGGTGTGGATGCATTTTTGACTGCATCCAGTTTCATTATAGAAATATATGATATCAGTTTTTTTTTTCATTCACATTATTATTAGTGTGGTGCATACTGGATATTAGAAGTACTGATTTTCCCCGTTTTGGTACTTGGGAAATCAAAGTTATTCCACTTTCAAATCCAAATATTGATGGCATATTTGCTATAGAAATAATAATTGTTTAGAAAATTATTATTTCTGGAATTTCTGGCCATTCAAAGAGTTACAAATACACAAAGACACGAATATAGTACAAATGGAAATTGTTTCTTAAATACTAATATTCTATAGTACTTTAGTTGAGAATATACCTAAAGAATAAAATCTTTCAAACTTAAAATAACGTTAAAATTAATTTAAAAAATTATTTCATACTATCAAGTATTTCAAGTAATTTTTTTATATATTTTCTAACATTCTCACAACAGAATCTAATTAAATTACTACGAAGATACAACTACAATATAACTTTTTCGTTGTAAAATAAAATATAATGTTATTGTGTTATTGTTGATTAATAGCACTACTTTTCTAAATAATAATAATATTTATTGCATCAGTCGTACAAAAAAAACATATACAGAAATAAAAAGAACAAAATAAATATATAAAATTTCAAAAAAGTTAACTGATATATAGGGCTATTAACCATAGGCCTTTTTGTCCTATATTTATATATTAAACAATTTTTATTTAGAATCAAATTACTATCTATTAAATAATATTTTTGTGAACTTCTAATTGTGTAAGTGTATATAATTTCCTGTAGATTATTTATGTTCATTGTGATTCATTTTTGTAACATCAAATTAAACTGCATATTTTCGTGTCTTGCATCTTGTTTTGATACACAGAAAACGAATTATTCGTATGAGATTCGAAGGAACCGAAAAACTTGCAAGTTGTTCTTGTTTTTAATCCCCTACTCTTTGACCAAGCAGCCGGTATAAATAATCGGCACCGAAAATTGAACTGCATAAGAAGTGCATAGCTCAGCAGCACCATTAAAATAATCCAAAATGTTTAAGGCAGCTTTAGTATTCGCCGCGTTCTGCGCTCTGGTTATTGCCGATGATCATTACACCACCAAGCATGACAATATCGACGTCAATGAGTTTCTCTCCAACAAAAGGTTGGTGAAGAATGCCATCAAATGTCTGTTGGATCGTGGAAACTGCACCCCAGAAATTAACGATTTGAAGAGTAAGTAGATAGTTTTTATTAGTACCTAATAATTTCAATTTATATTTAAATTATATCATAAAATCCAACAGATTTCTATAAACTCCAACATTTTGAAAAATTATATTTAATTTTATAATTCTCTTAGTTTATTCAAACTTACAAGAAAAAAAAATAAAACCTCAAAGAAAACTATATTTACTTATATATCTTCCCTATTACATAATATTAAAGTTTGACTTAACAATTTGGGATATGGAGTTGACGGGCTCACGTGTCAAAACGCCTACTGGATACAAAGAACTAGTTATATTTTAATTAACGACACTTGAAAACTTAGACGAAAATTTTTCTTGTGATCCCAATTTCAAATTTTATGGAGCCCTCATTAAGTTAAATTGCGTGGGGCCCAAATATTTATTAACTATTCTCACATACATCCACTTGCTACGCCACTTCATTTGATTAATACCGATCACATTCTAAATCTAAAAACTATGTATTATTTTCAATTTTCAGAGGTTATTGATGATGCTCTGAAGACCGATTGCAGCAAGTGCAGCGAAAAGCAAAAGGCTAACGCTAAAGTTGTGCTCCGCCACTTGTTCGAAAATGAGCCAGAAGCTTTCAAAGAACTTGAGGCCAAATATGATAAGGATGGAATCTACAGGAACAAATACCGTGAGGAAGCCAAGAAGGAAGGAGTCAACCTTTAAGTAACTCGTTTACTTCCTTAATTGATTACTTCGATATGTTGTCATTAATACTTTTTTTTGTATCTATCTCTTACTCTTTTTTTGTTTTGTTTCTAGTTTTAAATAGTTTATGAACAACTCTTGTTGCATTAAAACATAAAAAAAAGTTTATAAAATAAAAGTTTTTTTTTTAATTTGTTGCCTTACGTTAATTTTAATTACCATACATTATTAATTTTCAGCAGCTACAAAGAACATACAATTATATCAATTATTTGACAAAAAGTGTATCAGGAATCATGATATACATGTATACATATTTACCAGTTATCCTAATCTCAAATATGTGAAATGAACGTAAATTTAATTTTATTTCAAATATTTGTCTAAAAAAATCATATTCAATATACACTAATGTAGGAAACTTGAACTGTTACAAAAATATCAATATATATAAAACTAACGAATATTTTTTATCATTATTTGTAAACCGTGTAAAAGAAGGAAATTATCGTGTAAAACGAGTTTAATGAAAAATTACGTAACAAACATAACATAAGAAATTCACTAATTTGATTTGTATTGTCAATTCATAGCATTTCATTCGATCAATAAAAATGCTACAATTATTGTTTTTTCCTTTTAAATGATTGACTAACTAAATAATAATGCTCACATATATAATTTGAGAAAAGTGTTAAAATAAAACATTATATATAATCTTAATTAATAGTGTATACAAAAACACAAGAATATAGTTCAAATGGCGATAGTTTTCTAAATGTACTTTAGTTGAAAACATGCCTGAAGAATACAAACTTTTATATTCAAAATAATGCTAAATTAAATTAATAAGATTTCTTTTATATAATTTTCTATAAATAAAATATAAAATCAACAATATAAAAGAAAACTGTGACAAAATTTATTATTTTATCGGAGATAAAATTTGAGATTTGACTCGAAGATAATAATTTAGCTACCGAAGTAAAACAAAAGTCGCACATGCCTGTTTTAAGCCATATATGAAAGTGATACAAACATTTGAATTGGAATACATTTAAGTTTAAACGATCAAATATAGCAAATTCTATTAACTATTATTACACTGAATTAACATAATTATTTCAAAGATTTTGATGATTCATATTATATATGGTAACCACAAGATTATAAGATACACATATTTTGCTAATTCATTAATTTCAATTCAATGCAGACATTTGAAACAATAACGAAAATGCGTTTCAATGTGAAGTTATTACTATTTGTATGTTATCCATATAATATTTAATGGCATACTAGATTCTAATTGCAATTAGTACCAGAAAAAGCGTTTGAATCTATACATTATTCATATAGCATATACTATCATAAATTTAATGTAAGTTCATATCTTCGATCACTTGTTTACATATATTTTCCATAACAGTAATAGTTCAAAACAAAAACTAAAATTGTTGCATATTTATGCATTTCGGTGCCACAATTAAAGTACTACAAGGTAGAATAATAATTACACAATACATAAATAACTTCTTGACATGTTAACATTAATAAATTTTGAATTAATTAAGAAGTATTTACAACTTGAATTATACAACAATCGAGTGGTTCCGGCAATAGCTCGAACTATTTGAGACCGGACTAATCGAAGACTTTTAAACTACCCAAAAAGAAACCTGACAGTATAAAAGAAAAATAACAATAATTTACGTATAAAGAAGATACTGTGATTATAAAATGTTCAAACCGGACTATAGTTAATTTTTATTAGTTATTTTTTTTACAATTCATTTTGCTCGTTAACGAAATGCTCGTTATGCGAGGTGTTCGTTAAGCGAGATTCCACTGTACCTTATAATCGAACAGTTTGTACTTAAAATAACTAATTTTGACATTGGATATTCCAACATGTATAAATGATTCATTTAATTGCATGTGCCAAAGTACAATAATACAATTAGGTCTATTAATACCAACACGCGTTTGTAAAAATAAGATACATGAGTGGTTTTAAATATAAGAAAATATATATAACAAAAATGTTTTATTGGTTAACGTCGCAATTCCTATGTAATAAAGAATATTTTCATAATATTTAAAAAAAAACCTGTTTTTAGTAAATGAACTTCTATACAAATATTCAATTTATCTGTTATTAAAAAAAGATAAACTTTTGTGTAAATGAAAATTAAAGCTTTTCCATTCATTTATTGCAAATATTTTGTAAACTTATTATCTTCGAAATATTTCATAATAATCTCAGATTAATATTAAATTGCAAAAAAAAAACTTAAATTATAAAAAAATAGTTATTAAAGACAACTTCTAAAAAATTATCAATTTAACAATTATTTTCACTAAAATTATTTTTAAATTAGTAAAACTCGCATAATCCGGGTAATTGATCTGCCAATATCCTATATTGTTTGAATCCGGACTAATAGAGGAATCAAATACATATAAAAATAAAATTCACACAAAGAGACTTTATTGTATAAAGGAAATATCCAAATATTTACTTCTATATATGTTTCTAACTATGTAGCTTATAACATAATAAATTTTAAGAAATTATTTTTGGCCATAACATTCATGGTTTTTGTTAAGATAATTTTATGAAGAAATTCGTTATTTTATGTATTATTATTTTTTTTAATACTAAACATATTTGTTTGTATTACATATTACACCGAAGGTTACCATGGTGTTAGTAAAATTTTGTGTTTTGTTTATAAGGTCAAACAAGCGAATACATCTGGAAGGCATGTAAAGTTCATGAAACAAATTTGACTGGTGAATAACAATAATACGTAATTACATGAGTCGAAGCAATATACAATTACTATAAGTAAGGTTACGATAATAACAAAAAAATAACTATACTTCCTGGAGTATGTAAAGTAATTATTAAATAAACTTTAACCAAAATATCATGTTGTATATTGCTGATGAGTATTTCATGTTTTTTTTGTAGGAAATAATAATTTATTTATACAAAAGAAACACAATATCCAATTGACGTGAATCTCCTAATTCAATATTTTAATTATATATACAATTTTTGTTTTTTTATGTATGCATTTTAGTGAAAAGTGAATAGATATTATTTAGAATAGTCAGAGTGTGACGACTAAAAATTAATCTTTTATATGCATTTTTGATGATGTAATCAGTAAGCGTGGATATCTAGCAATTAAAAAAAACTCTTCTCATACTCTTGTTATAATTTTTGAATGCACAACAAGTAAATCATTGATTTTATCAAATTTAAAATCAGTTATCTCTCGGTTTTTTTGATACCTTTGACACTTGTAACGGACACTTTATACGGACATTTTATTCTCTCTAATGGTTGCTGTTGGTCAGAGTTTTCATCAAGTGCAGAGTAGTTGTCTTGTTTTTATAGTTATATAATAAAATATAACATATTTAAAAACAAATATATATGATACGTTTTTGCTACTTATCACTAGATTGCCGAAAATTCAATAAATACTGGTCACCTGCTTGTGTACAGTGGACAAAAATAGATTAATTAATATTATGAAATAACAGTTAGATCAAAAGATACGGAATAGATCCATTTTTATGTAATTATATTAAAAGTTTTTCAGTTAAATTGAGTGAAATAGACAAAAAAAAATCCAATAAATTAAATAAATTGGAAAAAAACAGGAGATATCTTTTTATTTTGTAGAAAACCAATATATATGATAAAGTTTGAAGTTTGTACTTTGTTCCTAAACTAATAATTGCATATTGGGAGGAAAGAAGTTATGGCCATTAGACCTGTATAAGATAATATGTATATAGTAAATTATGTTTATTACTATATAATATAATACATTCTCTTCTTTAAAATATTAATAATACATATAAGTTAATAATTTTAATAGAAGACCCAATAAATTGTCCTTACTAAATTAAATTTGAAAATATTTGTATATTATAAATTCAGAAAATGACAGATCGAAATATATTTCCTTTGGGTCTGTTATTATTGAAGTATGCAGAACTTTCATCGATGAACATTATTCGAAAATAACTACATTTATAAATTAATAAATACCTCGTATAGTACGGCTTCTGCAAGTCTGGATTTACTATAGTCCGGTTTTAAAATTTCAAATCAAACTAAATTTTAATAGTGCAAAATAAAAATAAAATACAAACTTATTTCTTATATCGTTTTTTTATACGGTCGTCTCCTTTTGTGCGGTTTATTTCTATCTTTAGTCCCTCGAATAGTTTGATTTCAAACAGCCCGAAATATTAGTATAATGATCGTTTAATTCTTTTTTGTGCAGCTAATTTCTATTTTATTTAGAGATATTAGCTGACACGATTATCCGGACTATGCGAGGTATTGCTCAATTCTATTCTTGCGTACTTAGTCTATCAAATTTTCAAATTGTTGTTTCATTCTATAGTGATTCATAAGTAAATAAAACTAAGCAAACCATTATATAAAAACTATATATAAAAAAAAGAAGAAATTACGTGTATTCAAAGAGCAAACATGATTTTCCAATAAAACTATTTTAATTCCAATAATTGTTAAACTAAGTTAATATTTTTACAACTAAAAAACATAAGACATATGAGAATGAATAATAACAAATTTCGTTTGAAATAAATAAAAATCTGTTAATACTAGGAATTTAAATTAGCAAAAAATATATAAATTAGGCTGAAAAAAGCTTTTAAATAATATAAAATTTTCGATTTACAAAATAATGATAATAAATACATACATTTCATAAGATGTTGCAATTGGGAGATTCTAATTTACTTTTCCAATAAAAAGGACACTATAATTGTTATTGAATTATTTAAACGAATTATTTTAAGAATGAGAAAATTTAAATTTGGTTGGAAACAGGCGACACTTTATACAAATAACAACTTTACAAATGAATCACCTGAGCACAGTTCAAAAAAAATAAATATAGAAAAAATGCAGAGAAATGCAATTAAATTCAATGAATTTTTTAAATGATAGATGACACAAAATAAAAAGAAAAATTACATGTATACGCAAAAACTAATTAAAGTGAATTGCAAACAGCCGGCGTTGCGAAAATGGGAATTAAATGATTTGCGCAAACACGGCTCGTTTTGCGCAATTTAAGAAAAAAAAATATGCCTTCAAACGGTATCGCTAAATTTGAAATTTTCTTAATAAACTATAACTTAAATTCCCTCGATTAATTTGTGTACCTCTAAAATTGGAAGGACGAGTATTATAACATAAACATAAAAAAAATACAATCAAATAAATGTAAAACGTATTGAAGGAGACCATTAAGTGGCTATCATTGTACAAACATTGTACATTGATATTAGATAGACGTAGGCCATAATTAAGCCCCCACCTGGTTCTAATGTCGATGGTATATAAACATGTATCAAAAATTTAGTAGGCACATTACGCATCCGACTGATCGGTAGTAAAGTAATTCAAACAGACCAACACAGAATAAAAAAATATCATGAAGGGTTTCGCAGTTTTCGGATTATTGGTGGTTGTTTTGGTGGCCGTTTCGGCGAGACCAGAAGAAAAGTACACAGATAAGTACGATAACATCGATTTGGATGAGATCCTTAGCAACAAACGTTTATTGAAGAACTACACGAACTGTCTCCTTGGAAAGGGTAACTGCAGTCCCGATGGTGCTGATCTGAAGAGTAAGTGACTCATAAATAACACTTAACAGCAATTAAGAAAAAAGTACCAATTAAGAATTTTTACTAATTATTTATTATATTTAATTTTTATTGGCTCATTTTGGGCTTTATTGGTATTTTCGCCGGGTAATTTTGCTTATCAAATTTATTCAATTTTATTTTAGAATAGAAAACATAGTTTACAAAAGTATCTAGATTTACTATCATTGTAGTTTTCGTTGTACAAGACGCAGCGTTCTATAAGGCGCACTTGACTTGAAATCGAATCATTTTGTAGAACGTAGCTTAATATTAAAATTAAGTTTTTAATTCGCGAAGTATTTGATGAAAATGTTCCTGGAACTAATATATTTTTTCAGAGGTTCTTCCGGAAGCAATTAAGACGGAATGCGCAAAATGTACGGAAAACCAAAGGAAGGGAAGCAGGAAGGTCCTTCGTCATTTGATCGACAACGAGCCGGAAATCTGGGCTGAATTGGAGAAGGAATACGACCCATCCGGCGAGTATGCCGCCAAATACCGCGAGATGGCCAAGAAGGAGGGCATCAACATCTAAACACGCCAGATAATTATATAATAATCATGTAAAAACGACAAGTTACGGTGTCTAGGCAGCTAACGTGCACTTATCTTCTTCCGTGCATGCTGTTTACTAACCATTTATTGTTTATTTCTTTCCCCGTAAACTTCTGTAATAAAATCTGTTATATCTTAGTTTATTGCGCAACTAAATTTACCTTCCACCAAATCCACGTATTCGGTTTATAGCACAAAAACAATATTTATTTCCAAAGTGTAATTCGATCGCATAAATATCAGAAATTATTTGTTCATAGTATTAATTCCACCAACTATACAAATACAAATGAAATAATAATATTTCATAGCTTTTTAAGCAAAATATATAAAGCATAATCTATGAAACTAAATATATTAAAATAAATTGATTTATCTAATTATATAAAATTTAAACAGATCTGAAGTGACAAAACTAAACTTTTCAATATACATGAAATTATTTCTATATACAGATCTGAATATACAAAATAACATAAACATTTTCAAAAATAAGTCTAAAATAAAAAAGGGTAATTGGAAATATTTCTACATAAAACTAAACTTTGACACATATAAATTACTATAATTGAAGGTCTACGAATAATATGCATAAAATAATATCGTCATTTTGGAAATTACGTTGAATGTATAGAATTGGAAATTGGCAATAATTGGATGTGGGGAAAAAAGGTGCAAAGTTTATTAACTGGTTTGTCTGGTCGATGCATTATTTTCTAATAAAATTGTTATTTGCAAACTTTGGACATTGAACGAGACACGCGACTGTTTATTTTATGTTATTTCATCGTTTATATTTTTGCCTAATGTTTCATTTCGAAAACAGCACAAGTTTATAATTATAATACAATAATTTACATGTATTTTTAATAATATTATATTAAATATTTTTTATAATACAATAATTTACATGTATTTTTAATAATATTATATTAAATATTTTTTGTGGAATGAATATAGAAAATTTTAAAATGTAAGTAATTTTGTGCGGTCTTTTTTTATACGTTTTTTTATTCGATATATGAAATCCAAGCAATTCCAACGTCGTTGGCATCATTGTAATGTTTTCTATCAGTGTGCATATGTAAAATATGTAAAATTTCGAATATTTTTTTTGTACGATTTGTTTATGCGGTCATTATCTACCGCACAAAAACAGGTTTTACTACGTAAATGTATAACAATAATAATTGAATAACTTAATCATAATATTATTATTATTTTTAAATGTTTTTGATTGGAAACACAAATATGAGTTCATTTGTTCATAAAGTATTTTGATATACGTATGATTATAATGATTATTATGATTATAAACAAACAAATACATGTACAAAAGTTTTATTAAATGAACAAGAAAACTAATCTAAAGGGATCTATAGATAATTCATGTAGATAATTCTAAATATTAATAATATTTAATAACTATTGCAAAAGACCAGAATCAGTCTTTTGTAATAATTCAATATGTCATGAAATGATATCATTAATAACATTAGTTATATTGTGATTTTTGTCTTGCTATATATTGTTACTTCATGTTTGTCCATCTGACAATAGACTCAACGAGTAAATCATGTATAATTGTATCATGTATCATGTATAATTGTATCATTAGTTGATACATGTTCTGAAACAAAACTAGATGTATATATTTTTCACTTTTGATTAATTTGTTGTTATATATGCAGACTATATAATTTTAAGAAAGTTATACAAAATCCATTTTTTTTTAATTCTTAAAGTAGTTCATAAAACTATTTTTTTCATTATTTATTACTTTTTCTCTAAATCTTATAAACATATGCAGGCCCATCCTAAGATAGTTGGCACCCGTGGGCCACTAATAATAATGCACCCTTCTTCCTAAAAATATACACAGGAGGAGAAGCAAAATTTCCTGCTGCCACGGGGCTATAGATGGTGGCCAACTTTTGTGCACATAAGATCTACTTTTTATCTTAAAAATGTGGTGATCGAACTGCTATAGGCATAGTCTAAGTGGGGGGATATTTGTGAAATACAAACAGTAAGACATCGTTTAGCGCTTTAGATGTGTTCCTGAAGACAGAGCACTAAACCAAAGAGCGTAGTAATTTGCATTATAATATAATTTTTATATAACACAAACGTTTGTATACAGAAATATTAAGTTCTAAGGCTCTTTTGATATTTTTAATTATTTTGATTTGATTTTCTTTTTCTTTCATTAAGGAAATGTTGATTGTAGGCGATCGCATCCAAAACACCTCTCCTTGCTTTTGTACTCCTGTCAACATTTGGATCATTTGCTACAATTTGATCAACTATTTCAATTATCGTTTCTAAACTTTTTCTAAGAAAATCTGTAGCAAGTTCTCTGTTTCATCGTCGTCAGAATCACTATTTTCGCGTTCTTCAATTCCTTGTTCTGACAGTTCTCGAAGGTCGTCATTGGAAAGGCCTTCACCAGAAACCTGCAGTAACTTCTTAATATCCTGCTCATCTCTAACAAACATAGATTCTGTGAAAGCACAGCGCTATGTGTTCCGGTATAATCGTATTATTCCTGCATGGACTCCATTTGTAACTATCCATGAAGCTACATGTAATGCTACATGTAATGCTACATGTAATGCTACATGTAATTGTGTCGTCCAACAAATCTATACACTGCAAACACTTCAATATTTCTTACTACATGTGAAAAACTATTGATTTCTTTATTTTTAGTATTTACTTCATCCATATTTATTTAAAAAATACCTCTTATACAGATTCTATTTTGACCATAAGAACTTTGTACCATTTCTATTTACCATAAGTTACTGGTCATCCACCCATATTGATCTTTGATTAAGTTTCGAATAAATTTCGAACACGAATTATAAACGCTACTGCGTGTTAACATAAGATCTGTCCGTATTTTTTCCAAATTCAAAAAATGCGCACCAAAAGTAAAAAAAAATGGCAAATCCCGACAATGCCAGACCCTTTATGAGCTCCATCGGTGCTTGCAGCGGTATGGCCATTATTCATCCTAAATGGACAGATAAATGAGTGAGGTATATGGACATCCAGCCAAGTTAAGGATAGTAGCAGATACACAGACAAAGAGAATAGTGGAATTGCTGACCATCAATATACTACTGAAGTTAACCTACAATACGACAGCCAACAAACAAATTGAAGAAGAAAAATAATGGTAAAAACTTCTATTAGAAAGTTTACCAAAAAAAAAGAATATTTATAGCCATTAGATTTAATTAATATTGGCAGGAATATATTGTAAAATATTACTTATTTGTTGTAATTTTCTGTTGTTGTCTTCTCTTGTTCTCTTAATTTGGAAAAAACGTAGAGGACTTATATTATCATCCAATATTTTAGCAACCATTAACAATAAACATAATTTATTATATACCTACCTATAAAGGGCTATTGACCGCAGTTTATCCACCCATTAATAATATTTTAAATTATTTATTTTTTATTATAGTATCATAATGTATGTATTAAAATCGTATATTCCTGCATTATAATATTACGATAAAATTAATCTAATTATTTTAAAGTAATAAATCTTTAGCATAATCTATCATTGTTTTGTTCCAGTTTGCGTCTCCCATAATTTAAACGTTACAAGCGTTTTATTGTCGTCATATGGAATTATGCACGAAAATATAAGATGACAATTGTAAAATGGTTACAAGGTGAAAATAGAAGAAAAACACGGAATACAAAAATGTTCTACTTGAACGACGATACACACGAGCGTAATCGGAACATTTAATGCTTGCATAGACCGCAAACCCGCAGTGCACAGTAGGCTATACCAACCCAAAACAACCGCAGAAATTTGCAATTTTTGCATACGCTGCAAACATTAAATTCCCAGAAAAATACTTTACTATGTTAATATTATATAATGCAAATACATTATTTTTATATGTTAATTTTCCAAGAAAAACCACTAATAATAATTATAATCTTCCTTCGTGTATAATTTTATGATGAAATATTGATGTTTCACCAATTTTAAAACTTTGTCAATAATTATCGTGGAATTTATTTTAAGTGATGACCTTTGACATAAAAATAATTAAAGTTTAGTAATTCATAAAATTTAGTATCTTACAATTTATAATAATTGTCATCTTCCTTTATGATTAATATTTACTAGTTAATAATTACGTAAGATTACAATCAATAAAACACTTGATGCATCACAGCTATTGATAGTTAAACAGTGTCTATTATGGATTCTATTTGAATAGAATTATAAAAAAAATGACTCTTATAAATCATGCAATTTATTATCGTACCATCAGCTTCCTTCTTGTCTAATTTTATGATTCATAAATAATAATTACGTAAAATGCACATCAAGAAACATCTGATCCACATATGACATATGACAAAAAGAAGAAAATAACATCTAAGAAATTAGTAATTAACTTATTTCTAACTTATCTAACTGCCAATTTTTTGGATAAATTATGTTAAAAATGTGTAATACTTTCTATTTTGATAAGTATTTGAAAAAACATGTGATTCCACTGCGGATTCACTAAGAGATAAAGAACTTGGAAATAATACTCTTTATGTGGTCTCATGGTGAAACCACTGGCACAGAAAGAGTTAAGTCGTTTTATAAGATTGAATTCCGATATTTTTTATATATGAAAACTTACATTTCTTTAAAATTATATTTCTAGTAAACTTTTTGCGTTTCTCTTTGCACTAATCCGCGATTCCCAGTTTGAAATTTAATGATGTAAACGATTTCGGTGATACTAAATTGTCTTGACGTATCACCTTTGACATACATGTCATTACTGCTCTATACACAGTTGTATTTTAATAATATTTACTAGATTATAAGTACATAATAATGAAATAGTTTTTGTGTCACTGCTTCCCAGATAGACGTTGTTTAACGTCTATCTGGGAAACTAATCTGTGGGGTTAAAATAAATATGATTTAATACCATGTTAATAATATATTATTGTAATAAGTTTTATGACAATTATAAATACTATTATATAACATTTTACGTTTTTATTTTTTCTTTACTATATAAATTTGGAAGTTTAGCAATATATTCACAATGCGTTGTAGTTCAGGTAACAACTAAAGGATTCGTCCAGTAGCCATC